GTACTTTTTAAATAAAGTATTTTTCAATTACCTAATTCAGGAAATTTAAGGCATAGGACACTGACAAACTTTAAATATGTTTTTCCAAGCTCATAAACATTTACCTAAAAGAAACAAAAAGAATATTTTCAATTCTAAACTGTTAGCTATTTTCTTCTAAATATTTCTCTTACTGAATGATTTCACATTCACTAATAGTTTCAGCATATACAGTCAAACTCAATTAATGTCACACTGGTTATCATCACAGATTTTTATCCCCAGCCAACTCCCAAAAATAAATGATAGATTTTTCTCTGATTAATGTCACTCTGCCTATTAGCAAAATTCGGTTAACATCAAGGTAATTGTGTGCATGATGGATTTAAATATTCTATTTAATATCATAAAGTTCACAGCTATAAACAGGTCAGCAAAGTGTTATCAGTGCAGTCTATTGACATATTTTTTAATATAATTTAGAAATTTATAGCAAAATTTTTAACTTTTAAACAAGTATTCTTTAGTGGTTTTCTTGTCAAAAATGTGGTTTTTGAGAGTATCATAGCATTTTTCCGATTACACCGATTACACTGTATCCTCATTTGGTCATTCTTATCAATTAGAGTACACTGTAAAGATTAACTGTACTGTGTAATTCTCATTATAATAAAAAATAAATAATAGTTAAACATAAGCATGTTGATCTCGATTAAAATACTAAAATGAACATTCTGAAACAAGTTGGCAAAAATGTTGAGGAAAGACATTTTGGATAAATTTGGCAGTAATGTTTTAACTGAATTGAAAGTTGTTATAAACTGAATCAAAATTGAAAAAACTTTCATTATTTGATGGCTGCATCAGACTAATCAAATGTGGGTATTTTTATTTATTTGATTTTTACAATTACTGTACATGTAATTTCATACTTCATAATAATGTTAACTATTTTTTATGTATTTAAATTTAATGTGGCAAATGTGAGACATATATAGTAGGCCTTCATGACTGGTGCACTTAAAGCCTTTTCATCAAATCTGAAGCTCTCCTGTTGTATACCTTTTGCATGTTTTGACAGTTTCTTAGATGTGATAATAAATGGGTTTGGCTATATAAAAATTTAGGAAAAAACAGATACATTACTAACTTATACAATTTTAATTTCTGTTAAAAATAGATAGTCATACAGAATATGTTATTTGATTTAGGTCAGAGAAATATTCTAGGACAATCATCAATTTCATGTAAATATAAAATAATTTTCTCACAGAGACTATTCCCAAAATTAAAATTCTAGACACAAATCTAAATCATTTGAACATGTTAAAGATAAAAGGTAAAAAAATTATTATTAAATGTCAACACAAGAGATTTCTTTTCTTTTTATCAGTACTCTAATTTTATTATTTTAATAGAGTGCAGTGGTAATTTCTACTGTAATTTCATTATAAAATGCAATTTTATAAATGAAGACAATAAACTAAATTTTTTTTAGAATGGAAGCATTAATTGAGCAAATTTAAAAGATATGTAAAATGTTACAAGCATTTTAATTTGAATAAATTTTTTTATATTAGCAAGATAAATTCTGACATCATTTACATAGATACAATATTCATGCATTTTACAGTTTGCCATAGACAATTGCATTTACTGTGAGAAGATTATTATAATCTATAATAATACTTATAAAACTATTATATTATTTTTTTCTTATGTGTTAAAAATGTATGTTTTCAAAAGAACCTTTTTAGTGAAACAACCCTGCTAAAAGATAGAATTTAACTTGCTTTCTATATTTTGATCTCAAATACTACAAATTAAAAAAAAAAAAAAAATCAAGCAACTTATTTTATCTTACTTATTAATACAAGGAATCTTAATGAAATAAATAGTCTACAGATTACAGACAAATGATTCATACCTTATAATTAAAACATTTCAATTAAATATGCATTCACAATATACATTTTTAACATATTAACTCAAAATATCCCATTGATATATGAAAAGGATATTTATTACTGATAATAAATTTATTCATAAAACAATACAAATATTTTCTCACCTGTAAAACATCACTTAAATCCAATAGCATATATGTATAAAATTAAGAAAAATAAAAAATTATATGTATATTTTTAAAATCATCATAATTATTTAAAATATGGTACAATAATATAGCCATCATATAACAAGCTTTTATTTAATTGAAATTCCTCAATAAAGTTTTATTAAATTTGAGGCTTCTCTTCATGGAGTTAGACATATCTCACTAATACAGTAGTTTAGGTACCAAATCACCACCATAAATCAAATATTGCCTTAAGTGAATCACAGTATTTTTTTCATTTGCCAGCGTGTATAAAAATGATTTACCCAATTATTTATTAAACTAAAGATGAATTATCAAAATTTGTTAAACCAATCTTTTTCACCTTACAAGATTAATTGAATAACCATTGTATTGAATGCATCACATTTTTCATCTTGATTTCTTGGGAGAAAAATATGCTATAAAATACATAATATAATAAAAATATATCACAATATAAGACATATTTGCACCTAATCACAGTATATATAAAATTTCCAGATAAATTTTAGGTACAAAAATGTGCATCTTATAAGGCAAAACATGCAGTAAATTTAAATTTGAAAACAAATACAGTCTTAGTCACCATTAAAACAGCAAGCCATCAAACTAATTTCTTTTTTATATTACTAATATCTTCTTTCTATATTTGTTAATTGTTTGGATTCTTCCAGTATGTTTTAGACAAATCAGTTGATTGCTGGGTTAAAATTAAAAGATAAACATTCCTGATTCATTCTGTTGCATTTCTATTTCATGTACTGTACAGTACATAATAATAGTCTTTCATATTGTAGATGACGAGTCAGAAGAGTTTAATTTTTCAACTCTAATTTATGAACACTTTCTTGTTTGCAAAAATTAATTCAATTAAAAATACTTAACTGGATCTTTCAAATTAAACTAATTTCATTTTTTACAGTTATAGTTTACTTTCTTAATAAATATATTTATAAAATAAGACTATACTAGAAGAACAGAAAAAGGATACGAGGAGTTCTTTCATTTCTGCATGCAATATAAATACATGCAGCAATAACATGAGAATTTTTTCGTCCTCTCGTCAATCGTCTAGCTAACACCATTTTGTAAATATTATAAGCAAGATCTATACATTGTTGATTTAGTCGAAGTTGCTCAGATAACTGGGTAATTCTTCTCCTGGCTAAACTCAAAATGAAAAATCTTAGTAAATACTTAATTAAAATTTGAAAAAATTTCTACATAATTAACTAATAGAAAAATAGACATACATAATAATATTAAATATTAAGCTATTTACAACTTAGTTTGTTTGAAAATAATAAAATGTTTTATATTTAGACAATTACTAATCAGTATTATTCAGTTATTCTTTCTATTTTTGAATTGAAAAGGTCAAGACAACAAGAGACCTAATTCTCATTAATTAAGAAATTTTTTGAGTAATTAAGAAAACAGTTGAGTTTTTGTCCAAATCCTGAAATCAAGTTTATACATTTGTAAAACTTTGCATTAAAAATACTTCATTGAATACTAATCTCCTAGAAGTGACAAATTTCATGTTAATTTAAAAAAACATTTACTTCTCGACAATGTAGTTTACAATGTTTTTAATACAAGTAATAATACAAACCTCTTAAAAAGAGTTTGTATTATTTGTAGATTTCTAAAAAGAAATCAGTTTTTCTCTTTGACAACATAATAAATTTAAAAAATATCAAGAATAAAGTGAAAATTATAGTTTTATAAAAAAAAATTATATTACCAACAAGATAACACCAACCTCACAATTATTAAACTAGTGCACTCTCATCAAGCCACAAGAAACCTTGTAAATAACAGATATTCTAAGAGCTTTAAGTGATTGTGCAATTTTTAACTTTAATTTTGAGTAGTGTGCCTTACTGCTTGGCACATGTCAGTCATTGAGGATGCACTATATCATCCCAAAGTTTGATCAAAATCACTGATTCAACATCGCATCAACAAGGGGATGCACTTCTAAGTTCTCATCTGGTTATATAATTATGTATATTACTTGGTGTTTTGTTGGTGTATATCCCTCTAGGATTTTCAATGAATTAACCAATTGAACCCTTGACAATAACCCACTGACTGTCCAGTCACCCACTTAAAGACATTGAAAACCAATAGAATATTTTCCTTTTTGTCTTCATTTTAGAAGGAAGAAAGTGTGGGATACTCCAGAAACATCTCTATTTATAAATAATGTTCCTGGTCAACAGAATGTTAAACGACTGTTACAAATCAATTTTTTTTTGTAAATTATAAAGTTTTTCATTTATTCAAGTTAAAAACTTTTTGTTTATTTACTTAAATAAAAATGACTGAATCTCAGGATTCAAAGTCTCTCAATGTTTGCAGACAAAAATAATTCATTTCAAAAATTAAGAGTGGAAAAACATGCAAAATGACAAAATTCAAAAATTTGAAATTAAGTCTTTTCAATAGTTGATCTCTTGTCTACAGTGTTTTTCTGTAAATGCCTCCTGAAAATGGATCTTTTTACAGGGTTCCTACTCAAATTTTTGTTTTGAATTCCCTGACTTTCCCTGACCAACTCTGTCCAAATTCTGACCCTCACATTTCTTAGTGTAGAAAATCGACATAATAAAACAGCATTTACTGTGAACATTGAGTACATCTATCCCTCTTTTTGCACAGTTGATATGTTTCAAAGACTGCCACATTAAAAAAATACTGTACATACATCCTGTAGAATCGTTCAATGTTCATCAAGTCTTGGAAAAAAGAAATAGAACATGGTGGTTTTCCGTTGCCTTCCATGTTTCGAACATTTTTTGTTTAGGAATTGTTATTGGCCCCTGGGGACTTGGAGAACGTAATGATAGAGGTGAAAGATTGATTGATTTCTGTAGGGAAAAGGGCTTGACTGTGATGAACACATGGTTCAAACATCACGAAAGAAGACTTTATATGTGGAAAGCCCCAGGATCAAGGGGAATCGAAGTTAGAAATCAAATAGATTTTATTTTGATTAATCATAGATACAGGAACACAATTACAAATATAAAAACATATCCAGGGGCGGATTGTGGCAGCGACCACAACCTCTTGCTCTCCGTGATCCGAGTTAAATTGAAGCACATAAAAAGAAATAGAAATGATAAAAGACTGAGAATTGATGATTTGAAGATTAACAACATTAGGGAAAAATATGAGAGTATGACTAATAATAGACTTCAAAATTTAAATTTGGAAGGAAATGTGGAAGAACTTTGGGAGAATATGAAAGGGGAAATTAAAGAAAGTGCTTACCAGGTTTTGGGAGAGGAGAGAAGAAAAGCAAGAAGACCTTGGATTACGAAAGAAGTGTTGGAGAAAATGGATGAAAGGAGAAGATGGAAAAGCGCAAATACATTAGATGCTAAAGAAAAATATAGAACAATCGATAAACAAGTGAAAAGTATGGCAAGAAAAGCTAAGGAAGATTGGCTAGACAGAATCTGTCATGAATTAGAAGAACA